AAAAAAAAAAAAAAAAAACAATATTTTCCTGTATTTATAATTTAAGTATAAGATTTATTGTGATTTTTTTGTTAAAAAAATTATTTAAATTGAACTTTTTCATTGTATTGCATAGTATTTTTATTGATGATAGCTTATCAAATGACCCATTTTGTAAGAAAAAATAAATAAATTTAAAAATATAAGATTATACAAAAAAAAATAAAGTAAGAAACCAACATTCAAAAATCTTACAATCCAACTAAATCATTAAATTGATTTACATTTTAGAGTCTCAAAGGATAAATCATTATACATATTTTTAAAATGTTATCTTGAAATGTAAAATATAAGGATTGTTATATATTTTACAGCAAATAAAAAATATCATTAGTTTATATTAAAATGGCATTGAAAATAAGTTTAAATTATTTACATATTTTAAATACTTTTTCATATTATCCCTTGTAATTTTTTATATGTATATATATAATGAATTTTGAAAAAAATTGAGGGGGGCCCACGGGCCCTCCCTAGACCTAGGGGTGCAAACGAGCCGAGTCGAGCATTGGCGTTATCGAGCAGGATTGAGTTTTTTTTTTTTAGTTGCTCGAGCTCGAGCTCGTCGAGCTCGGTTCGATAAGAAATTACAATAGGTCGAGCTCGGCTCGTGCTCGACTCGAAATCAAAATGCTCGAGCTCGGCTCGAATTCGGCTCGAAAATTAGATAAAATTACCATTAAGCACCTATGCTAATATATACATATATATATATATATATATATAGAAAATGGATTATATGAGAATACAAGTTAATGAAAGAAGTGAGAATGAATAAGGGCCATTTGATCTAATAAATTAACGGTCAGATCGCAGTCAATCCGCAGTCAATCCCGCGGTGGCATTTTTTAAATTTAGTGACTCTTAATGGACAATTGTGAACGCATAAGGGCATAAATGTACATTATATCTAAAAATTGAGGGGCTTGGATCTAGGTCAGATTTAGTTCGAGAACGGCGAGAGGAGAAAAGGGTGACTGAGAGCGACAAGACTGAGCGAAGATGAAAGCTAGATTAGGGTAACAATCAATTGAGGAATGGCTGCATATCGAGATCATAGATAGAGTCCCGAGTTGTTGGTTTCAGTCCGCGAAAGCAGCCCGACATCTCCCAGGTAGAGGATCAGCGGGCTAGATCCCTCATCAACAACCGTTAAAAGAGGATCAGCAGGCGAATGTTGTACAGTGAGAAGATTATGAACATGAACTCGTCAGCCTTTGCAGTTTGACTTCATCACTTGAGCAAAAGAAGGGAAGAAGGATTTTCTTGAAGAGAAGCTCCATTCATTTATGCATGTATGTTATGTTTGTTGTTTCTGTTCATGTTCTTTTCTATAGTTTTATTCTGTGATCACTGGGGTACTGGAAAAATCTGAAAAAAAAAATGGAAATATATGTCCATTTGATTGAGGACTATCTCCGACAATCCATATATTGATCTGGGATTACTGGTGTTTATGCTTTAATTGTTTTCCT